GGGTGTTTTGATAGGGGCGGGGGTCGGATAGCCCCGCGACAGGGGTCCGGGGGTGAAACCCCTACCCCGGCTTGGGCCCCGGGGATCCCCGCGTGACAACCCTGGTTCTCGTTGCCGAATTCAATTTTTGCTTTGTGTCTTTTTCCTTCTAGGTCCTGTATAACAAAACAACACCCGCAAAACCCCTCATACACCCGTTTTCCCAGTCCGGTAGGCAGCTTGCCTTCCCCAAAATGCTCCCAGTATCCTTCGTATCATACCACTATTATGCATTTCCCTCCCTTATGCAAATCCCCCGTTTATGACGACCCCATTATTTCCCCGTCAAAAACTATGATACAATGCTTCTGACAATCCTTCCCGTTGTCATACAAACCCGTTACAACAAATCCCTAAGTCATCCTTCCTTCCAACCTCAGTCAGTCCAAAACATTGCCCCAGCCCAAAAAAATGACAGTCCCATGGACGCAGTCAGAGACAAAATCATAGTGTGGGCAAGACGTTGTCAGTCCTTAGCTTGTTGCCCTTCAGTTTCCTTATCCTCGACCTCTTGAAGCCATTGTTCCACTGGGTCCCGACTTACAAACATGACCAATCGTTGCCCCGGGAAGGGTCCTTTCAATCTAGTTTCATCCAAATCTTCCAGTTCGAAGGTGTTCAATCTCACCCGCTTGGCGACTCAGTAGCGTCCTTTGAACCTCCTCCCAGTTGTCCTAACCAAGTACTTTCTAGTGTCGAGTTCCTTAGCAATATCGTCTCCCCCACCTGAAGTGACTCCTTTCTGACATTCTTAACCTGGTCCCACCTTGCTTTGTCCCTTATCCTGCTATCTAGTACCCGGCTGGCGATGTCTTCCATGACCTCCTCGTTCTTAAGGACTTGTTGACACCTCGCCTCGATTAACTCTTCCGTGGTCATTTGCGGATCATTATCTAACCTGTTCCAGGTAGGTATCAAGGCTTCCACGGGAAAGTCGACCTCTCTTCCGTACCAAAGTTCTGCTGGGATGCATCCCGTTGTCCTCTTAGGTGTCATGTTCTCTGAGAAGACAGCCTGCTTAAGATACCTAGGCCAACTCCCCAGATGATATGCTACGAGCTTCGCAATCGTGTTCTTTAAGGTTCGGTGCCCTCTTTCCACATGTGCATTGGCCTCCGGGTGATACGCCTCGATGAGTTTGATCGGAACGCAGAGCCTATTAAGCATTCTCAGTACCTCTTGGCTCATAAATTCGGTCTCATTGTCCGCTATAAACCTTGTAGCGAAAGGATGCCTTAAGTAGAAGTCTTTTATCCAGTCCGCTACGCTTCTCCCTGTCTTTTTCTTGAGAGCGACCGCCTCCACGAACCCACTTAAGTTGTCTCGCGCATCCAGGATATACTTGTACCTATCTGTTGATACAGGCATGACCGCAAGATCAAGGTGGACCAGACGTCCTGGTCCTAGCACCGCGTTGGTCTAAGCCCGAAGACACGTGCCGAACTCCGTTCCTGGCAGATTAGGCAGGTCTGGCAGTACATGGCGACAATGCCTGCCATGCCTGGCCAATAGTAGAGTGGCGTTATCTTCGCAAGCGTTCCTTTGGACGATCGATGCCCTCCTGTTAATCCGTCGTGCATTGCCTGGGCAATGTCTAACTGCCTAAATCTCCCGCACTCAACTCTCCTAGGCATAGCACCTTGCTCTCTTCGGAACAGATGACCGCCCCTTAGGACGTACCTCTCAGCCTCCTCCCTTGCTTTAATGTTGACTTCCACGGGCTGTTTGTTTCCTACCAGCAACAACCCGATCTCCCGAAAGATCCCTTTGTATATCTGGGCATAGAAAAACCCCTTCCCTTCCTGGTCCTCATCCTTTCTTTCCTGCATCCGGCTTACCACCCATCGCAACTCTTTCCTTTCCCAAGATTCCACTAAGCTCATTACGGTTTCCCGGCCTCCCTCAACCACCATTGTTATTAGTTCCTCTTTTGGTCCTACTATCGCTCCCCACAAATCTTTCTCCTCTTTGTGACCTCGAGAGGTGACTGGTCCTTCTCTAAGTTCTGATACTACGGCAGGTGCCCCCTTCTCCAAAGTTCGGATCAACAGCTCTCCCAACGCGCAGTCTTTGCTCATCATTTCGTCATCCACCGCAAGAGTTTCTCCTTCGTAATCAAGGAATGCGTCTATGGGCTCCGCCTCCTCCACCCCTTTGGGAGTGATGCAGACCCGACTCAGTCCATCGGCCTTGTTCCTAATTCCCACAATCCGTTCCATTTTGTGATCGAACTGCCAGATAAATCATACCCATCTTCCCACCGTCGAATCTATAGGCATGTAGTTCTTTAAGGCCCCTGCAACATTCGTCGGATCAATCCTAAGGATGAACCGCCTCCCAAATAGGTAGGCCTGGAAGGTCTTGAGGCAATGCAAGATGGCTAGGACCTCCTTCTTCAACTGTGAGTATCGTCGTTCTATGGAGTTCGGGGTTCTACTTTTGAACTTAATCGGTCTCTCTTTTCCTTTCTCATCCTTTTGAATCAGCATGCCTCCTATGGCCAAAGGTCCTTCATCCCTTTCTAGGATGAAGGGTCGTCCCACTTCGTCATTAAAACAGGGTGCAGACAAAGCGACTTGCTCAGACGTCAGTATGTCCTTGAGTGTTTGGATGACTCCCTCTTGCTCCTCTGTCCAGTCCATGGTCCCTTCTTCTCTAATCATGACCCGGATAGGCTCAACAATCTTGGCAAAATTCTTAATGAAGATCCTCCAAAAACCGACCACGCCTAGGAATGTTCTTACCTCCGTTGTCGTGCGCAGGAGCGTTGACCACTGTGATATCTTGTCCGTCTTTGCCGGATCTGGCTTCCTGCCGTATGCGCCACAACGAAATCCTAATATGGTTACTTCCGGTACTGCTAGAATACTCTTTGGTGCGCTAGCCGTGATATTGTATACTAGGAACCGACGGAGTAAGTCCTTGATGTCCTGTAGATGGTCCCATACAAACCTTCGGACTCCTGGCTGGACCTTCGTCTCGTCCTTCTCTTGCGCGCCTTTGATCGGATTGTCATCGATGTAGGGCTCAAATTTTTCTGGGAACATGTCCTCGGCTACGACAAGCATCTTCTATTGTGCTTCGGCTACTGCGTTTGTGAAGCCCATATGGGTCACCTGCATCTGCAACGGGCGTACGGGGGTGTGCATCGCGGTGTACGGCCTGTCCCGAACATCCAATGGAAGTTGGTCGTACCCTGAGTACAGATCTATCAGGGAGTAAATGCTCCGGCCGACGTGCGACTCTACTAATAAATCGGCCTGAGGTAGCGAGTCAGCGTCCCGGATGGTTGCCGCATTCAACTTCTGCAGATCCTGAATCCATCTCAGCGTCTTGTTGGGCTTCCGAAAGACAAACCACCGGTTTCCGTATGACGACGCCGTAGGATCTGCGACGAAGGATTCCATTTTTGCTCGAAGGAGGTCTGTCACTTCCCCGGCTATCCCAAATTCATAGGACGGACCCTTGTCATTCCAACACTCATGCTCTACCGTGTGGATTATGACCGGAGGAATTAGCTTCGCGTCCAATCGCCCCTTTTGGTGATCACGAAAGGCAAATGCCAGGTGAAACCCCTGGCAGGTCTTTTTGATCAAGCGGCTTTCTTCCTCCGTTAAGAATCCGTCTACCCCTATCTTCATTGTTTCAGTTACCTCATCTCGTATCCGGTGTCCTTCCTTTGCTCGCCTCTCTCGGATCACCCGGAGGACTTCCTCCTCCTTCTCCACAGCCTCTTCCTTCGACGTTTCTAGCAGGATCGAGACCGATTTTGCTTTCTTTCCTACCGGCTTGTATTTTTGAACACTTCCTTCCGGGATCTTTATCCTAAAAAATGAACGGTCGGGATTGCCCTCGTCGCCTCTACGATTCGTGGTTGAATACCAAGGTTGTCAAGCCCCGGCCCCGGAGCCCCGGTGGCGGTCCGGGGGTGGGCACCCCCAGCCCCGGCTCTACAACCCCCCCCCAAAAAAAAAATTCAAAAAAAAAATAAAAAATAGTGGGGGGTGCGCAGCGAGAGCGCGCACCACATGGGCTAAACCTCAAAAATGGGGTCTTATGCCCCACCCCGGACCCCCCCCGGGGCCACACCGACCACTCCTGGGACCGGGGTAGCTGCTGGTGTGGGGCAAGGGGCGGGGTTGAG